CACACACACACACACACACACACACACACACACACACACACATATTTATTATTATTTATTTATTTATTCGAGCTTCTTATTTTTTTAAAGAATTCTATAAAATGGAAGATCTTTAAGATTTTAAGAAAACATCATTTACACTACACATTCATTTTCAATATTCTTTTCGAATTCCTTTCTTTTCATTTTTTAAACACTTAGCATAATAAAGGAATAAAACTGTATATAGGAATAGTAATTTTTGCGCTGAACGAATAATTATGTACTTTGTGATTTATCGCTACATATTACGTCTTATACGTGAGGTTTTCGCATGGTGTCACGTTTATCCCTTATCAAAATTGTTTCCGTGAGACATAAACGTGCTCGTTCAGCAAAAACGCAACATAATCGCGCACAAACCAGACATTCCGTGATGAACGGAAGAATACTGGAGAACACAAGGGAGAAAAAGAGATACTCTTTTTTTACTCCTCGAAATCTCAAGAATTAAAAGACATCTATCACAATGATACTAAAGAGATAAACGTGTAAGGTAGTGATCTTCTTACTACGTAGCTAAACGTGATTCAATATTCATCAAATGTGGCTGCTTGCCAAAACAAATTATTCATATTGTAATAAAAACACATAAATTCAAAAATCAATATCGAATGTTAAGAAAACAAATCATGAATCATTTATTTCTGCTTGTACACGCTAAATATTCGACGATAAGTATACCTAATGTATAAACAAATAGACGCGATAAAACGCAGAATGTGTGAAAGGTGGATAATTTGTATACATAACATAGAGTACTGCGTGGTTCTGTTTCCTATACAAATTAAATCGAAAAATAAATCTATTATATATAAACATTGAGTAATTTTATGATTGACAATCAAGAATTCCTACATATTAATTAACAAATAAATAAATATATCAAGCGCTTATAATAATAAAAATTGCGCTTATAATAATAAACATTCATTATAATAATCATGACATTAAAATAATGTTATAATTGATAGTTTCTATAATTTATAGATTTATAGAAAAATAAGTTTTTTTTATTTCATACATTTATAAATTTTCTTATAAGTCTCTAAATCATACATCTACGCATGAATACAGCTTTAAATTTTGTGAATAGATAAGCTGGTATTCACGTCTGTTTTTATTTAAAGATTGTCTCTGAATAACGTCTCAAGATGTTAATATGATTCTATTATGACATTTTAAGGCTGTATTTAAGACAGATTCTTAAATATAAGAATTAATTGTGAATACCGGCCATAAAGCCATAAAGCTATGGATCTGTAAAAAAAAAAAGATCCATAATCTTACTTTCTTGAAAAAATCTTGCTAATGCTTATATGAAAATATGTACATTTTTTCATATAAGCAATCGTATTAGCAAGATTTTTCCAAGAAAGTAAGATTATGGACGCAAGTTTTTTAAAACGCTTAAAAATTATCATGATATAAAATTGTACATAATACAAATAGTTAAATAATAACATAATATAAAAAATGTACCTATTCTATTCAACACAATATAATGCTATAGCCTCATTTAACATATAATATTATACAATATTTTATTGTATAAATTTATAATGAAAATTCTACGTAGTAAAACATAAAAAACTTACTGAACAAATAATTTATGAAAGATGAAAATTGGAGAAATATATATATATATATATATATATCTATATATATCTCACGAAATTGAAAAATACTAGAATTTAATTTGTTATATAGTTAAGACAAAGAGAAAACAGTCAACAGAGTTGACGAGCAGTTGTTCGTATATTAATCTAATTTTCTCTTCTGATTGTTCCGATAAAATGGTCACTCTAACTGAGAGATCTCATAATATTTGCCGTTCAAAGCGATATCGAGTATCATCTGACTTTGTTCGTGCTGATACAATTTTTCAGCGTATCTGGTAAAATTCCACGTATTTAGCTAACGTCTAATATGTCTAACCACGTAATTGTCATGTATGATAATTATAGTATTGCTAACGATCCGATATATCGCAAATATATAGAGAAACGCCCATTGTGACAAAATACGATAGTTCTAGACAAAATAAAGTATACGGGAACATAGTGGAAGAAGAGACTTCCATCATGCACGGGGACATAAATGCCTAGCCATCTGAAATTCATCGGAGAAGACATAAGAAGTCATAAAAGGCATGATCAGACATTTGTGTCCTCATGAATATAACAAAACATATAATACACTGAATAAAATTGTGTGCATTGCAAATACTCGCTGAATTCATGATCGTTTTCTCTTATAGACTTCTCTTCTTATCCAGTTTTGATTGTATTTTTGTGAAATAATCTGGTTATCTCAAGACACGTGTGTATACACCTTTCAATATGTCGATATTTATTAAATAATATATGTATCGTGGAATTTCCCTAACTTCAATAATCTGTAATTCTTCATTTGCCTTTTCATATATATATATATATATATATGGAAAGACAAATGAATATAAATATATATATATATGAGAGACATCGTGTATAAAAATTGTCAGTTAAAATTGCGTTGGCATCTATGCAAATTCTCACATTCTCAGTGTTGGCAGTGTTCGGTGAGTGCGTTATCAACGCTGATTATGTCATACTATTCTTGTTTCACATTTAATGGGCAATAAAGATATAATGACACAAATAGCGCTAATAGCGTCTCCTCGAACCCAGTTTATATGTACTAGGTATATACATGCTATTTCTTTTTAATGCTCCGCCCTTAATATAAAAATGGGGAAAACCTCTCTAACTTCTCACAATCCCGCATAGTAGAAGTCATGGAAGTCATTCCACTGCATATATAATCATATTTCTGTGCTTTTAAAATATTTCTGTGCTTTTATTAGATTGCTGCATCGCACCCAGAGGAAAGATTTTTTCGATGTAAAAAAATGTTTCTTTGCTATACGATTAAAAAAAAAATTTTCTTGATTTGTGAACATTATTTTTTTGATTTAAATATTATTTTTTTAAATCAAATAAAATTTATTTGATTTTTAAAGAAATGACATTCACAAATCAAAGAAATTTTTTTTTTTAATCGCGTAGCAAGGAAACATTTCTTTAAATCGAAGAAACCTATCTCTGGGTGCAAGAAAAAAAAAGTTGTTTAACTTGACTAAATGCGTTTAGCTCGTAGTGATTTTTTAAATTCAAGTATTTATGTATCGATCCTTCGCAATTCGCCGGCTTGCATAAAATAGCCATGGCAGTGTTGCTGCGCGCGCTTAACGCCGAGCCACTACTGCATTTCCAGATTCAGGTTAAATATACAAGAATGGTATCAACAAAATCTTATAATTTAAAATATGTTATTTATTTGAATTAACAAATATTGCTTGACAGCTCGTAACCGCCGTATTTGGTTGAATTAACTAATATTTTTAAAAATTAATAATTATTTTCTTAATCTAATATTATTGTTTTAAAATTATTACATGTTTCTAAAGTGTTCAGTTCTAACAATATCATTTGTCAAAAAGTAAATATCATTCGTTCTTACATCGGAACAAATATTATTTTTTTCTAATCTTTT